CGTCTGTGATAAATTAGACCTGCGCTGTTCCCCGTCTGTGATAAATTAGACCTGCGCTGTTCCCCGTCTGTGATAAATTAGACCTGCGCTGTTCCCCGTCTGTGATAAATTAGACCTGCGCTGTTCCCCGTCTGTGATAAATTAGACCTGCGCTGTTCCCCGTCTGTGATAAATTAGACCTGCGCTGTTCCCCGTCTGTGATAAATTAGACCTGCGCTGTTCCCCGTCTGTGATAAATTAGACCTGCGCTGTTCCCCGTCTGTGATAAATTAGACCTGCGCTGTTCCCCGTCTGTGATAAATTAGACCTGCGCTGTTCCCCGTCTGTGATAAATTAGACCTGCGCTGTTCCCCGTCTGTGATAAATTAGACCTGCGCTGTTCCCCGTCTGTGATAAATTAGACCTGCGCTGTTCCCCGTCTGTGATAAATTAGACCTGCGCTGTTGCCCCCTGTGATAAATTAGACTTGCGCTGTTGCCCCCTGTGATAAATTAGCCTTGTGCTGTTGCCCCCTGTGATAAATTAGCCTTGCGCTGTCCCCACTCTGTGATAATTTAGCCCTTCGCTGTCCCCCCCATGATAAATTAGCATTGCACCTTAAAGTTCATCCAGTTAATCTTTATACTAGACGTCGTAAACGCAGGTGTGGCTCTTAGTAATAAGATACCCCTTGCTTTATTAAACCTGTCCCCAGTCCTTGTATGCTACATTCCAGCCCTCTACTGCCACCTGCTGCAAGCAGTCATTTCCTGGATTACAGGCGGCCTTCCTGTCATTGTAACACTCTGTGGCAGGTAAGGGGGGAAGTGGGGGTGCAGGGTGTAAATAGGGATCTGCCCTACTTACATCATTCAACTCACTGTATCATTGGGTACACTGACAGCATTTATAGCGATCACTGACAGCCATTTACATTATTAAACCATTTATAGGGTACACTGACAGCCACTCACAATATTAAACCATGTATATGGTACACTGACGGCCACTCACAATATTAAACCATGTATATGGTACACTGACGGCCACTCACAATATTAAACCATGTATATGGTACACTGACGGCCACTCACAATATTAAACCATGTATATGGTACACTGACAGCCACTCACAATATTAAACCATGTATATGGTACACTGACGGCCACTCACAATATTAAACCATGTATATGGTACACTGACGGCCACTCACAATATTAAACCATGTATATGGTACACTGACGGCCACTCACAATATTAAACCATGTATATGGTACACTGACGGCCACTCACAATATTAAACCATGTATATGGTACACTGACGGCCACTCACAATATTAAACCATGTATATGGTACACTGACGGCCACTCACAATATTAAACCATGTATATGGTACACTGACGGCCACTCACAATATTAAACCATGTATATGGTACACTGACAGCCACTCACAATATTAAACCATGTATATGGTACACTGACGGCCACTCACAATATTAAACCATGTATATGGTACACTGACGGCCACTCACATTATTAAACCATGTATATGGTACACTGACGGCCATTCGCATTATTAAACCATGTGCTCACATTATTAAACCATTTATAGGGTACACTGACAGCTACTCACATTATTAAACCATGTATAGGGTACACTGACAGCAATTCACATTCTTAAACCATTTATAGAGTACACTGACAGCCACTCACATTATTAAACCATTTATAGGGTACACTGACAGCTACTCACATTATTAAACCATGTATAGGGTACACTGACAGCAATTCACATTCTTAAACCATTTATAGAGTACACTGACAGCCACTCACATTATTAAACCATTTATAGGGTACACTGACAGCTACTCACATTATTAAACCATGTATAGGGTACACTGACAGCCATTCACATTATTAAACCATGTATAGGGTACACTGACAGCCATTCACATTATTAAACCATGTATAGCGTACACTGACAGCCACTCATATTATTAAACCATTTATAGGGTACATTGACAGTCACTCACATTATTAAACCATGTATAGGGTACACTGACAGCAACTCACATTATTAAACCATTTATAGGGTACACTGACAGCCATTCACATTATTAAACCATGTATAGGGTACACTGACAGCCATTTATAGGGTACACTGACAGCAACTCACATTATTAAACCATGTATAGGGTACACTGACAGCCACTCACATTATTAAACCATGTATAGGGTACACTGACAGCCACTCACATTATTAAACCATGTATAGGGTACACTGACAGCCATTTACATTATTAAACCATTTATAGGGTACACTGACAGCCACTCACATTATTAAACCATGTATAGGGTACACTGACAGCCACTCACATTATTAAACCATGTATAGGGTACACTGACAGCCACTCACATTATTAAACCATGTATAGGGTACACTGACAGCCACTCACATTATTAAACCATGTATAGGGTACACTGACAGCCATTCATATTATTAAACCATGTATAGGGTACACTGACAGCCATTCATATTATTAAACCATTTATAGGTTTTTTTCTTCCTCAGCAACTCACACTGCAGGAAACACTCTTGACCTCATCTTCACAAATCTCTGTACCACCTCTGATCTCGCCACTGCTCCATTTCCTTTGTCTGACCACCATCTGCTAACATTTAACATCTGCATACCCCATATCAAAATCTCACCACCATCCACTCTCCAACCTCGCAGAAACCTCAACTCTCTCGATCTCCAGCACTTCTCCACTAAACTCCAAACACTCCTTTTACCCATCTCAAATCACAACTGCCCTAACTCTGCAACCTCACTCTACAACTCCACTCTTTCCTCTCAACTTGACATCATGGCACCTCCTACAGTTAAACGCAGCAAGCGCCCCCAACTACAACCCTGGCACACCAAGCTGACCCGTTACCTCCAAAAATGTTCCAGAACTGCTGAACGCTGCTGGAGAAAGTCTCACTTTGCATCTGACTTTGTCCACTATAAATTTATGCTGCGCTCCTACAGCATGGCTCTTTCCTCTGCAAAAGTAAGCTACTTCAACACCCTCATAAGCACACTGTCCCACCAACCCAAACACCTGTTTCACACTTTTGATGCACTTCTTCGCCCTGTGACTCCCCCTCCTTCCACCACCTTGTCCGCCACAAACTTTGCATCTCATTTCACTGAGAAGATCTCTACAATCAGGAAAGAGATCTCTAATATTTCTCCAACCAGTATCAATACATCACCCAACCCCACTCCCCCTGCCATCCTAAGCTCATTTGCACCTGCTACAGCACAAGAGGTTTCTGCTCTGCTCCTGTCCTCCCGCCCCACCACCTGCTCTCTCGATCCTATTCCCTCGCATCTCATCCGCACTTTGTCTCCCTCTCTTGCTCTTCCTCTCACTAACATTTTCAATCTCTCCCTTTCCTCTGGCACATTTCCCTCTGCCTTCAAACATGCAACCGTAACCCCAATTCTGAAAAAGCCCAACCTCGATCCCAACTCCCCATCCAACTACCGCCCTATCTCGCTACTGCCATTTGCCTCCAAGATCCTCGAGAGAGTTGTCTACGCCAGATTGACAGACTTTCTTGAATCCAACTCTCTGCTTGACCCCCTTCAGTCTGGATTCCGCGCTGGTCACTCTGTCGAAACTGCTGTGACCAAAGTATCCAACGATTTAATTGCTGCTAAATCTCGCGGCCAATACTCTATCCTAATCCTCCTTGATCTTTCTGCCGCCTTTGACACTGTTGATCATCAACAGCTTCTTCACATTCTCCGTAACTTTGGTCTACGGGATTCTGCTCTCTCCTGGTGCTCCTCCTACCTCTCCCAGCGCTCCTTCAGTGTTTCTTTCTCTGGCTCTGCCTCTTCTCCCCAACCCCTCCCTGTCGGCGTCCCCCAAGGTTCTGTCCTCGGCCCCCTACTGTTCTCTATCTATACTGCCTCCCTTGGTAAACTCATCAGCTCTTTTGGCGTCCAATACCATTTCTATGCAGATGACACGCAAATCTACCTGTCCTCCCCCGATCTCTCTCTGCCCACCTTGACTCGTGTTTCTGACTGCCTCTCTGCTATTTCCAACTGGATGGCTGCTCACTTCCTTAAACTCAACCTGTCCAAAACACGACTTCTAGTTTTTCCTCCCTCAAGTGCTGCTACTCCTGTGTCTGTCGCCATCCAAGTCAACGGCGCTACTATCACCTCTACCTCCCAGGCTCGCTGCCTAGGAGTTCTTTTTGATTCTGATCTCTCTTTTACTCCCCACGTTCAATCGATAGCCAAATCCTGTCGCTTCCAACTCAGGAACATAGCGCGCATCCGCCCATATCTAACGCCGGACGCGGCTAAGGTACTGGTTCATGCTGTTGTTCTCTCTCGCCTTGACTATTGCAATCCCCTTCTCACCGGTCTTACATGTTCCCAGCTTGCACCGCTGCAATCTATAATGAATACGGCTGCGAGGCTTATTTTCCTGTCCGGTCGCACCTCCCACGCCTCCACGCTCTGTCAGTCCCTGCATTGGCTTCCAGTTAGATATAGGGCCCAATTCAAAATTCTGGCGCTTGCTTACAAATCCCTACATAATGCTGCTCCAACATACTTATCCTCCCTCATACACAAGTATGTCCCGTCGAGACCCCTGCGCTCAGCCCAAGACCTACTTCTATCCTCTGCCCGGATCCCCACCTCTGATGCTCGCCTTCAAGACTTCTCCAGGGCTGCACCTATTCTGTGGAACTCCCTTCCCTCCTCAATCAGACTTTCACCCAGCCTCCACTCCTTCAAAAAATCTTTGAAAACTCACTTCTTCATTAAAGCGTATCAAGTAAACTGTCAGCAGGTTTCTCATCCCCCACCCCATGACTCCGTTCCTGCACCTGTCAAAAATGACCTACCAAGCACTCAATAAACCCTTCTGTAACAAACTATTTAATTCCCCTACTTTAACCCTTTGTGTCACTATACCCCACTCCCTCTAGCATGTAAGCTCATCGAGCAGGGCCCTCAACCCCCTCTGTTCCTATACGTCAGTGGTCTGATCTCAGTTATGTGTCTGTTAGTCCACCCATTGTACAGCGCTACGGAATCTGTTGGCGCTATATAAATAATAAAATAATAATAATAATAATAATAGGGTACACTGACAGCCATTCACATTATTAAACCATGTAGACGGTACACTGACAGAATTCTATCCCGGCCTCTGATTTCCTGTCTGATCATTTTGTATGATGACGTTGTGCTCACAGTGAGCGGCTTTTAGTTCTCTTTAAATAAGGAATGACAAGTTACTGAGAATCCCAAGAGTGTAAATTCGATTAGAGCGGTAGGATAGGGCTAACAGGTTGCATAGTGTGGCTACCTTCTCCCACTGACTCTTTGTAAAGGCTATTGACTGTACTCTGGGTGGGTGGTTATTCCATAGGTGTAGCGCCTGTCTGTGGTGGGGCTGGCTTAGAGTGTTTTGTGAGAGTATGAGATCACATTCCAGATTCACCGTTTGTCATTCTTTCTCAGTTTGTCTTCATTTCCCGTCACAGAATACAATGGCAGAGCCCAACAGACATCAGAGGAAGATGTCCCGTACGGGAAACTCTCTGTATCTTGTCCTCGGTCTGCAGAAAGGGGCCTCCCAGGACGACATTAAGAAAGCGTACAGGTACCATCTTGCTTTCCTGGCAATTCAGACAATCTGCTGCATACGGCCTATAGATCTACACCAATCAGTCATTTACAAAATCCTGGTATCATTTCAAATCTCAGTATAACTGTGATGTTCTCCCCATTATTTGGCAATGGCAAACTAGACAGCCATTCACGGGTACCATCCCAATGCCAGGGCTTAAAATGCTGCGCCACCAGCTAGGCGTTACAGGGACCCTCTAGACCCCTAAATCTTTTTATCTTGCTGAAAAGCTTTGTGTGACGAGTGTGTCCTATTTTTTTTAATTTAGCAAAAAGTGCAGATTTTAATGGAAATTTTCACTTTTGTAAATTAACCTGGTCCTCCCACTTTGGCTTTTTAATCCGGTAACCGGTCCTCTTACTTACTGGTTTGGTTGGCTTATTTGTACTGAACTCAAGAGGCAGCAATTGCCCAGGGCACCTGCTTTACAAAGACTTCTCATTAAGCTGCATTGGGATGGCTGTGATTGGACAGAAAGTCTGGGCGGGGTTAGAAGGGGAGGGCTTGCAATGACTGCAGGCAAGAAATCTGCAGTTTGCACGCTGTTTTTAGATATACCCTCATTGTAAAAATACATAAATGCATGTTTTCATTGAGGTTTATTGACTAAAACATGATTTTCATTTATTTTGTATTTGGACTGTGGAGGGTCCGTGTAAAAGTAGTTTAGTGGCCACGGCAAGCTTACAGGGTCCATGGCGCATGCATTAGGACTAGCTTCTTCTTGGCTAGTGGTGATTGGAATTTTTTGAGCCCTGCCATTCTATAACTTCGTAAGAGACGCTCGCATTTCAAGTGAAAGCATTTTTTTGTTAATAATCAAGTTGTTTGAGGCTCTGATGATTTTTAACCGTCCCATATGCGCGCACTGTTTATTGAATATTAATTCAGGTGTTTTCACATCTCTAATTCAGACACCCAGAGAGTTGTGCGCTGGCTGTCTTGATTTAGTTTTTAACCTCCAGATTCCAAACTGCGTCCTTTTCTTTTACCCTCTTTTAGAAAGCTGGCCTTGCGCTATCACCCAGACAAAAACCCAGACAATCCCGAGGCTGCAGAGAAATTCAAGGAGATAAACAGCGCTAATTCTACTCTGAGTGATGAGAACAAGCGAAGGATTTACGATGAATATGGCTCCATGGGCTTGTATGTGGCCGAGCAGTTTGGGGAGGAAAGTGTCAAGTACTATTTCCTGATGTCAAAGTGCTGGTTCAAGGTACGAGTAGCGATTTAAAAAATAAAATAAAAAAAAATTGATAGATATATACACACACACACGATACTTGAAAAATTAGAATATTGTGCAAAAGTTCATTTATTTCAGTAATGCAACGCAAAAAGGGGAAACTAATATATGCGATAGACGCATTACATGCAAAGCAAGATAGTTCAAGCCGTGATTTGTCATAAGTGCGATGATTATGGCTTACAGCTCATGAAAACCCCAAATCCACAATCTCAGTAAATTAGAATATTGTGAAAAGGTGCAATATTCATACTCACAGTGTCCCACTCTAATCAGCTAAGTAAGCCATAACACCTGCAGAGGGTTTCTGAGCCTTTAAATGGTCTCAATCTGGTTCAGTAGGAATCACAATCATGGGGAAGACTGCTGACCTGACAGTTGTGCAGAAAACCATCATTGACACCCTCCATAAGGAGGGAAAGCCTCAAAAGGTAATTGCGAAGGAAGTTGGATGTTCCCAAAGTGCTGTATCAAAGCACATTAATAGAAAGTTATGTGGAAGGGAAAAGTGTGGAAGAAAAAGGTGCACAAGCAGCAGGTATGGCCGCAGCCTGGAGAGGATTGTCAGGAAAAGGCCATTCAAAAATCCTGGACATGGGCTTCAGATGTCGTATTCCTCTTGTCAAGCCACTCGTGAACAACAAATAACGTCAGAAGCGTCTTACCCGGGCTAAAGAAAAACAGACCTGGTCTGTTGCTCAGTGGTCCAAAGCCCTTTTTTCTGATGAGAGCAACTTTTGCATCTCATTTGGAAACCAAGGACCCAGAGTCTGGAGGAAGAATGGAGAGGCACACACTGCAAGATGCTTGAAGTCCAGTGTGAAGTTTCCACAGTCTGTGTTGATTTGGGGAGCCATGTCATCTGCTGGTGTTGGTCCACTGTGCTTCATTAAGTCCATGGTCAACGCAGCCATCTACCAGGAGATTTTGGAGCACTTTATGCTTCCTTCTGCAGACAAGCTTTATGGGGATGCTGACTTAATTTTCCAGCAGGACTTGGCACCTGCCCACACTGCAAAAAGCACCAAAGCCTGGTTCAATGACCGTGGGATTACTGTGCTTAATTGGCCAGCAAACTCGCCTGACCTGAACCCCTTAGAGAATCTATGGGGCATTGCCAAGAGAAAGATGAGACATGAGACCGAACAATGCAGAAGAGCTGAAGGCCGTTATTGAACCATCCTGGTCTTCCATAACACCTCAGCAGTGCCACAGGCTGAAAGCGTCCATGCCACGCCACATTGAGGCAGTAATTGCTGCAAAAGCGGCCCAAACAAAGTAGTGAGTCCATATGCAGCTTATACTTTTCAGAGGTCCGATATTGTTCTATGTACACTCCATGTTTTATTGATTGCCTGTAATATTCTAACTTACTGAGATTGTGGATTTGGGGTTTTCATGAGCTGTAAGCCATAATCATCGCACTTATGACAAATCACAGCTTGAACTATCTTGCTTTGCATGTAATGCATCTATCTCATATATTAGTTTCCCCTTTTACGTTGCATTTCTGAAATAAATGAACTTTTGCACGATATTCTAATTTTTCGAGTATCACCTGTATATTTATATATATTTATTTTTTAATTTAATTATTTTTATTTCTTCCAATGTGAGCTGTAGGTTTGGTGTGCCGGGCGAGCTGTAGGCTTAGTGTGCCAGACCAGCTGTAGGTTAGGTGTGCCACGGTTGGACGAACTGTAGGTTCGATGTCCTGGAGCCTGGCGAACTGTAGGTTAGGTTTGCCGGCGCCGGGCGAGCTGTAGGTTGGGTGTCCCGGAGCCTGGCGGGCTGTAGGTTGGGTGTCCCAGAGGCTGTAAGTTAGATGTGGCAGGCGAGCTGTAGGTTAGGTGTGCCGCGGTCAAGCGAGCTGTAGGTTAGGTGTGCCGCAGTCAGACGAGCTGTAGGTTAGGTTGTTAGAGATGGCTGAGCTGTAGGTTAGGTTCGACAGGCGAGCTGTAGGTTGGTGTAACGGATCACCTGGAACCCCGACTGGGTGCCTCAGTTGAAGGATGCTCCTAGTGCTTACAGAGGGCTCCAAGCGCTCCGCAGACACCACAACCGCTGCAGACCCCATGAACTGCCGCAGCTTAATTGGGGTCTTGCCGTCTCCTACCCACCCTGGACCTATGACAAGGCTCCAGACTCCAGTGGGTGAACCTCTCCTCCAAGAGAGTGAAGCAGGAACAAGCTCTTACGAGAGCTTAGAAGTGATTATCCAAGGGAGCATGCAGAGCATTCAATCTTCATAAAAAACACATATTATTAATTGGCATACGTGAAATATAAACATTCTCAAAAATCATGTAAATCCTTCCCTTAGTTCACAAGTTAGTCGGAAGTCCTTTGTGACCGACCGCAGGCACATTTTCCTGCCCAAAACAGTTCCATAGATTTGGGATGTGCGGTCGGTCAATTTCAAAAAATGACTAAGTCCCATTCGAACGGGGCTTAGTCTCTGCAGCTGCAAACGGAGTGTAGGAGAAGGTAAGGGTCAGCGGTGTTCGTTGAAATGTGTAGCCGATTTCAGTTCCATGGATTTGGCTACACATACCGCTGACCTCGTTCGAATGAACAAAGATGGCTGCCGCCACGTGTTCGTTTGTCGAATGGCAGCCACTTCGACTGCTTCGGCACTTCGACTGCATCCCAAGTGCCAGTTTAAAAGTACAAATCCTTTCTTTGGGCATTAAAGGGCCAGAAACCGCAATATAAGCCTCAAGTATGCCCACATCAGTTCCTAGAAGGGCAATACCTCCCAGGGCCATAGTCGCAGGGCAGGAGGCTGGCAAACAGGCCCCTCCAAAAACCAGTGGCGAGGTTACTTTCGCCACAGTTGGGTGTCACGTGGGCTGGGCGAGCTGTAGGTTGGGTGTCACGTGGGCTGGGCGAGCTGTAGGTTGGGTGTCACGTGGGCTGGGCGAGCTGTAGGTTGGGTGTCCCGTGGGCCGGGCGAGCTGTAGGTTGGGTGTTTAGAAATGGCTGAGCTGTTGGCATGCAGTGATGATCTCCGTTGTGTATTGCAGGCACTGTTGATTTGCTGCAGTCTCGTGACCTGCTGCTGTTGCTGCTGTTGCTGTGGGTTTTGCTGTGGCCGGTGTAAACCTCCCGAGGAGGACGATTCCTATAAGTCTGTGAATCCTGAAGACCTGGAAGCTCAGATCAAAGCAGAAAATGGTAAGTTTTTCATTCTTTAAACATTCTGTTAATTCTGTAACTTGTGGCCAGTGGCCCTGAAAAGGATTAGCGTGGATTCTGTATTTCTCAGACTGTGTCTTTTCCTGGTTAGTAACCACTAACAGGATTAGGGCTGTTTTACTGACTCTGATTTGTGTTTTCTCGTGGTTAGCGGCCACTAACAGGGTTAGGGCTGTTTTGCTGCCTTGGGTTTGTATCCTCTTGTGTTTAGAGGCCACTAACAGGATTAGGGCTGTTTTACTGACTCTGGTTTGTGTTATCTCGTGGTTAGCGGCCACTAACAGGATTAGGGCTGTTTTACTGACTCTGATTTGTGTCCTCTCGTGGTTAGCAGCCACTAACAGGATTAGGGCTGTTTTACTGACTCTGGTTTGTGTTATCTCGTGGTTAGCGGCCACTAACAGGATTAGGGCTGTTTTACTGACTCTGATTTGTGTCCTCTCGTGGTTAGCAGCCACTAACAGGATTAGATCTAATTTTTTTGTATTCTTGGTACTCTTGTTGTCTGTGACTGCTTGCAGGTTTAGAGCTGTTTGTATCATGTTTGGCTGTGGCTATTCCTGCTGCTGTTTTGCCCTGTGTGTAAGCTGTTTGCTGGAGGTTATATTTTGTATTTTCTGTGGAGTTAACTTTTTTTTCCCTTCTTGGCAGATAATCCAGTCAATGTCCAGCCTTCCCCAGGACCCCCGATTCATCCTGAGCCCCCACAGCAGAAATCCTAACCAGGTAAGTTCACTTCCCACCGAGGACTGGAATATAACAATGGATGATGTCTTTGGAAATGCTTCAATGGCGGCTTGCGTGAAACATATACTTTTTATAGGCTGTAATATATTTTATGTCTGTATCCCTTTAGTGTAAAAGATATTGGAGGTTTTTGGTTAATTGCCCCCTTCCAGTGTGAGCTGCTGTGTTGCCTGTGTATTCTACAGACAGCAGTTACATTGTAATGTCCGTATCCCTTTAGTGTAAAAGATATTGGGGGTTTGGTTAATTGCCCTCCTCCAGTGTGAGCTGCTGTGTTCCCTGAGTATTCTACAGACAACAGTTACATTGTAATGTCCGTATCCCGTATCCCTTTAGTGTAAAAGATATTGGGGGTTTAGGTTAATCAGGGTGGTGCAGTAGACATTGCTTACCTAGATTTCAGTAAGGCTTTTGACACTGTTGCACATAGAAGGTTTATCAATAAACTGCAATCTTTAAGTTTGGATTCCAATATTGTTGAATGGTAAGGCAGTGGCTGAGTGACAGGCAACAGAGGGTTGTAGTCAATAGAATATATTCGAAGCTTGGACTTGTCACCAGTGGGGTACCTCAGGGATCTGTACTTGGACCCATTCTCTTTAATATTTTTATTAGTGATATTGCAGAAGGTCTTGATGGTAAGGTATGTCTTTTTGCTGATGATACTAAGATATGTAACAGGGTTGATGTTCCAGGAGGGATAAGCCAAATGACAAATGATTTAGGTAAACTAGAAAAATGGTCAGAATTGTGGCAACTGACATTTAAAAAAAAAAAAAAAATCTTTATTTGTTCACTGACCGGTGTTTCAGTAATATATTAACATTTTGGTGAATGGCTTTCGCAGAAGCCTGATGTTCAAGTGTATATGTTCGTTGCCTGTCAGTTTTTTTTTTTTTGAGAAGTGTAGCAAAAACAGGTAATTTTACATAGGTGTACAAGAAAATATTCTAACAAGAAGCAAACAAGAAGATGTACAAGTGAGGTGTATTGCGAATGGCAGCTCTTTTGGCTGTAGGTATTGCGATCTAATTGTGGTATTCACACTCATTGTCTACGTGGCAAGTTAGGAGCGTGACCTGTCGACTCCCCTATAGGTGAAGGAACCAGTCAGTTGCTTTGTTCCTGAGGTAAGTATTTGCTCCCCGACTCCCCTCCCGCCCCCTCTCCGTTCCTGGGTGTAAGTCATTCTTCAAATTGTTCCCATAATGCCCATACCTGTTTGAAGGTAGCCATCGTGTTGCGGACCTGGGTTGTCATTTTATCCATCAAATAGTTTTCTCTAATTTTGGACAACACCAGGGACAGTGGGGGCGTCTCCGGCTTTATCCATTGTTGGGCTAACGCTTGGCGAGCTGCCAGAGCATATTTAGGAGCCTTTGTTCATATCTGTCTAGTCCGTCTGTGGGTCGGGACAGTAAGCAGGCCCAGGGGTCAAGTGTGAGTTTTCTTTGCAGGAGTCGGGAGCCCACGTCTACCACTTCCCTCGAGTAGGTGTTCACTTTGGTGCATTGCCACCACATGTGAATTTATGTGCCTTTTTCACCGCACAAACGCCAAAAGGTGTCCATGGGGCTGATTTGCATGTGGCATTGTTTGACTGGGGTTGTGTACCACCTAAACAATGTTTTGTAGGCTTGTTCCTATACGGAGGTGCAAATGGATGTTTTTGCTCATGATTCCCATATGTCCTGCCAGTCTGTCCCCTCTAATGTGTCTCCCAGGTCTGCCTCCCACCTGTCTGTGTACGTTATCGTTCCCAATGCTCCGGACTCAGTGCAAATGTGACTGTAGAGCAGTGATATTAATTTCGCCGGCATGGATTCTTTTAAGCAAATGTGTTCAATCAAGGTTAATCTTTTGGCTGTCGCTGTCTTGACCGCAGCGGTTTGTGCAAAGTCCCTGAGATGTATGTAAGGGAAAAAGTCACTGGTTTTCAATGGGGTGAGGGATTTTAGGTCCCTGATTGTCAATGTAGAGGTGTACGTAGCGTTGTAGTCCTATGGCCTCTAGGCCTTTTAAATCTCTAGCCCTTATTCCCGGCGGGAACGCTCTGTTCCGAAGTACCGGGGTCATTGGGAATGGGGCGTCCGTGAGTTTGTATTTCTGTGCTACTTGGTCCCATAGGCTGATGGAGTTGAGGACATCCGGGCATGTGGTCCTGAGGATCACCCTGTGTTCCCTGGGAGTCCAGATAAAGAATTGTGGCAGGTCGGCTCCAGTCATTATGGATTCTATGTCCACCCATCTGCGTTGGTCAATGGGGCAGTGCCAGTGTGCTATATGGGCTATTTGTGCTGCAATAGAGGTGGGGTAGTCCAAGGCCTCCCCTCCATTTAGGGTTGTATAGTATAGCTCGGGCTATTCTGGGTCGTTTTCTCTGCCATATGAACATCAACTGTATGTCAGCTAGGTCTCCTCTAGTGACTCTTATTTGTAGTGCACATTATGTGTTTCTATGCTAGTTACACTGTAATTTAGTTTTAAAAAGACTCAAGTCAAGCTCATTGAACATTTAAAACTTATTTTTATGCTGCTGATCCAAAAGAAGGCAAAAACATGTCAATTATTCAACAAAAAGAACAAAGACAATCCGATTTCAACCAGTTTACATACATCTCAGTTATCCTTGAATATTCAAATTTTCTAAAAACATGAAATAATTGTGTATCCAAACTATCAGTGCCTTCTATGAAGACACAGTCCCTATGGGGGGATTTTAACATAAGACGGTCAGTCCATTGGTTGTCACTGGAATTATTCTGGGAGTGACTTTCCTTTGGAGTCTGACAGTAGTGCTTATAATGTGTTGCCATGTTTGTATTGGAGTCACTATATTTTATATTACATTGAACGTTGCGCTACTATATCTGCTCGGATGGCCAATTCTGTTGGTGCTGCTTTAAAAAAACAAGCCTTTTTAAAAATATACCTGTAGAATTTGATAAAACAACCTCTTCAGGCAGAGAATTCCACATCTTTATTGTTCTTACTGTAAAGAACCCTCTCCTCTGCTGTAAGTGAAAACTCCTTTCTTCCACTCTCAATGGGTGATCTCCTGTGTGTTGTACATTCCTGCTAAGGAACAGGTTAGCACATAGCGGTTTGTGCTGACCCTGTGTATATTTGAGAATACAAAATGTCACACAAGCGTCAGGTAATTAATTACTCACTCCACCATGGCAGTAAATGTGCTCCAAGTTCTTGTTGCCGGCAGCAATGTTCCTCCTATTCTCACAAAAATAGCAATACCGCCCTCAAATATACTTAAAGGGGCAAAACGAAGAGCTATCTGATGATCGGGTGTCCTTGTAGTGCGGATCTGTCAAGGCATGTCTAACATAATGAGCAGCAGTGATAAGAGTTGTAGCTAACATGTCTGCTCTTGGTATCAAAACAGAGAGGGGGGAACTAAATAAAACTGTGAACAAGTTTCACATCACTACTGGATGCTTTGTCATCTGCAAACATCACCACACGAGAGGATTCAGGGCAGAACCCTGAGACGCTGCACTTACCCCCTGTGTCCAGTCTGAAACTTTTCCATGTTACTCTATCTTTGAGCCAGTGTTCTATCCCAGAAGATGATATTTCATCTAAACCAACTGATTTCAATTTTATAGGATGACTAAAGTCCTTGAGATGAAGTGTCTGGGTGGTGTGGTCTTGTAGGTTTCATGTAAACTGTTGGTTTTTAGAAACTGCAATACACTATTCGTGTTATCGGGTTAAACACACCTCCAGTGTTTACTACACTGACAGTCACTGGGGACCTTTCTGCTGCAGTAACCAATAAAACTCAATCACGTGACTGCAGACCCCATAGGAAAATGCTCACCAGACCCCCCATTTCTCTTCTATGAGGAGCATTGGATTGTACGACTCACAAGGAGGCTTTGCTTCAGTGGGAGGAGAGGTAAGCAGCACCTCAAGAACTACAGCTCTGGGAAAAGGTAAAGTTATTTATTATATTTATGCAAATGGCGCTGGGGCGACGACAACATCACACCTAGGGACAGGAATACTAACTGCGAATAGATATGTATAATTTAGTTCCTTTAATAGCAACAGTGACTTCTAATGTCAAGTGTTGTGTTTTTGTTTTTTGTATCGGTTTAGAGTCCCCACTGTGTCCTGAAAAATAAAGTTGCTTACCTCTGATCAGGAGACAGCATAGTTTACGTGCTGCAGTTCCTCTCCACCGCGGGAGATCATCCATGGTGACAATCTTGCCAATTCAATGCTTCTCTTACAGACGTATTGAGACACAGGGCACATGCTCAAAATGCTGAAGTATTTTAGGGGTTTGAGGTATCCTTTAACAGAGAAATTACATTTTTCATGTTGCTTCCTCTTTTAATGGTGTTGACTTGCTATGTTAAGGTATGTTTTCATGCTTATGATCAATGTATTTATGATGGGATTGTTATTCTGGGGCTCTAGTTATCTTCTGTCCATGATTTGAGCATTTCCATGAAACATGTTTTGTATGTTCACAGGTGGCACGCTGTGTGATCCGCTGCTCTGCAGCCCTGTTGGATGGGAGGCCTCTCTCGTCGATCTGGAGACCCAAATTAGTGCTGAGAAGGAGAAGGAGAGTGCTACTCATCCCACCTCTCTGCCAATCCTCCGTCAGCTTCAGTGGCAGAAGACAATAAACTCATCCTCCAGTATGCCAGCGGTGCATCCCGCCGTTAGCATTTAATCAAGGAGCGGTTTATAACAGCTAATGACTTGAACTGAATGGGAGGCTAACCACTGTGTGGAGCTGAGATACAGCCCCTGTTTCTGTATGACCAAAAACAACCCGATTGCCAAGTTTTACCTCTGCCTAATGTTCTCCCTGACTGATGCCCTCTGCCAATGTTCTCCCTGATTAATTCTCTCTGCCAATGTTGTCCCTGACTGATGCCCTCTGCCAATGTTCTCCCTGACTGATGCCCCTATGCCAGGTTTTCCTTGCCCTCTGTTTTTCTGTCTAATGCCCTGTGTCATGGTTCTCCCTGCTGTCCACAGCCTTTTTCCCTCTGCCAAGGTTCCTCCTTTACTTTGCCATTGCCATCACTATCCGTCTCCCATTGCCATCTGTTATATTTACCAATACCTTTTGTTAACAAGAAAGGTTTTAAAGTTCCCTTATACTCAGCTGTATATTGGTTGATAAAGAAACGTGTCTATGGAGGGCTCAGTGACCAATAACGGTTTCTATTTTCACACAAGACTTTATTTTGCTGTCCACTTTAAGATAATGTCATGTAATGCAAGCGACTGTGACTGGATGCGAGTGCTCCCTTCTCTCATGATGGATTGCATGCTGTGACTACATGGCCCCCGCAGACCTCATGGACTCTCTGTCTGATATCAACCAGCATCGTTCCGGGACAGAAAGCACATACATATATCGCACTTTCTGAACTGATTTAATGAATTTATATTGAATGTTGCCCATGTGTTAATATAAGTTTTTGGGAAGAGGATACTTTTTTAGAATCATTTTTACTTCTCTTGTCCTGAAGGCGTGTCCTCACTCTGATACTACTGCCCCCTCTACCCGTCCGTTCCCCAACCCTTGGTAATAATCTATCTGTACCACTGCAGCACCCAAACACTTCAATATACCACCAAAGGGTAATAAACTCTAAGTTGGGTGTAATTTCATTTCTGTAATGTATAGTGTTTGTAGTCTATTGGTTTCTTTAAAAATATTTGGGAAGGTTCAAGCTGTTTTTTATTTTATCTCACAGTTGAATATAGGGATTCGAGTTTTCCGAGCTGTGATTTGTGGTTTGATATACAAGCGTGTATCGAAAATGTCAATCTTCCTGAGACATCGCCCGCTGACCTGATGTTCTTTACCAGTTTTTATTAGCTGAGCATTGTCAATTCCCCTGAGATGACACATGGCTCCCTGTCCCTTCTAGTGGTTCTTCTTATCGTGTACAAGGAGCAGGAAGTCTCATCCCCAGAACCAAGCCTTTGTTGAGCTACATTAATGGTGGAGTTCCCCTTTCCTGCTAATACCATTCTATTTCTGATTGGTAGTACACTCAGATACAGCCATAGAGTGAGTTTGGATTTTGCTGAATTGATGGCTTTCAGAATAACAATGTGTTCCTTGTTTAATAGAGCCTGACCAGCACCTGACCTTTGTTGCAAACGTAGTGAATTGTGACAATCTAAAATCTAGTACAATATTACCGATTTGGATGAATTCTCCAATTTGGCTCCTTTGGAAGCCTGGCTAATTTAGTGTTGTCTGAGCAGTTTGATTTTCAGTTTTGTACATACCACTGTTTAGTCAGTTTTTGGCCCTGCAGTGCACCATGCCTCTCCGAAGTGCCCGAAGAAGCACTTCCATTGTGTTGCCATTCTGGTTCTCTTACTGAGTGACCCCGTGTCTCGGTGACCCCTAGTCCTGGTGTCTGCGTAGGCTCACGTTATTCTGTTTAGTACTTGCTGTTATAGATGGCCTATTCTGGCACCTCGATCCACTGCTTACAAATGGATTTCTCTGTGACCTCTCCTACTGAATGCATGGCCATGAGGTTAAACAATTTATTTCTATTCCCTGGGTAATGTCGAGTTAAACACTATACCTAGTCTTCATGTTACAGGGTCAGTCCCTGGGTAACGTGGGGTTAAACACTATACCTAGACTTCATGTTACGAGGTCAGTCCCTGGGTAACGTGGGGTTAAACACTATACCTAGACTTCATGTTACAGGGTCAGTCCCTGGGTAATGTGGAGTTAAACACTATACCTAGTCTTCATGTTATGGGGTCAGACCCTGGGTAACGTGGGGTTAAACACTATACCTAGTCTTCATGTTACGGGGTCAGTCCCTGGGTAACGTGGGGTTAAACATTCTATCCGTGCCAGCCCAGGGATTGCCGTCTCCCAGTAACTAGCTCAGCGGCCAGTCTGTGTCTGGCTATCACACTGCCAGCCCAGGGATTGCCATCTCCCAGTAACTAGCTCAGCGGCCAGTCTGTGCCCGGCTATCACACTGCCAGCCCAGGGATTGCCGTCTCCCAGTAACTAGCTCAGCGGCCAGTCTGTGCCAGGCTATCACACTGCCAGCCCAGGGATTGCCGTCTCCCAGTAACTAGCTCAGCGGCCAGTCTGTGCCCGGCTATCACACTGCCAGCCCAGGGATTGCCGTCTCCCAGTAACTAGCTCAGCGGCCAGTCTGTGCCCGGCTATCACACTGCCAGCCCAGGGATGCCGTCTCCCAGTAACTAGCTCAGCGGCCAGTCTGTGCCAGGCTATCACACTGCCAGCCCAGGGATTGCCGTCTCCCAGTAACTAGCTCAGCGGCCAGTCTGTGCCAGGCTATCACACTGCCAGCCCAGGGATTGCCGTCTCCCAGTAACTAGCTCAGCGGCCAGTCTGTGCCCGGCTATCACACTGCCAGCCCAGGGATTGCCGTCTCCCAGTAACTAGCTCAGCGGCCAGTCTGTGCCCGGCTATCACACTGCCAGCCCAGGGATTGCCGTCTCCCAGTAACTAGCTCAGCGGCCAGTCTGTGCCCGGCTATCACACTGCCAGCCCAGGGATTGCCGTCTCCCAGTAACTAGCTCAGCGGCCAGTCTGTGCCGGGCTATCACACTGCCAGCCCAGGGATTGCCGTCTCCCAGTAACTAGCTCAGCGGCCAGTCTGTGCCGGGCTATCACACTGCCAGCCCAGGGACTGCCGTCTCCCAGTAACTAGCTCAGCGGCCAGTCTGTGCCGGGCTATCACACTGCCAGCCCAGGGATTGCCGTCTCCCAGTAATTAGCTCAGCGGCCAGTCTGTGCCAGGCTATCACACTGCCAGCCCAGGGATTGCCGTCTCCCAGTAACTAGCTCAGCAGCTAGTCTGTGTCTGGAGAGCACTGGGATTGCAGGCTATCAGTCCATACACAACCTACACAGTCCTAGGCCAGCACAGTCCTACCTACTGCCTCACATCCCTATGCACCTCTTGTTATTGTAAGCCCACAAGCCCTCTGTGTTGGTAAGTATGCCCTTTTGCCCTCCCTTCCTGTGCTCTCCTACACTGCTGCAGAAATTCTGCCATGTTTATCCATGTATTGCTGACCTTTCCCTGTATAAGGAATGGGCCAGGACTGCAATCCCTGGGTACTTTCTATCTCCGTCAGCCATGGTTCAGTAGATAATCCCTTTCCTGTAAAAGCCATATTCCTGTCTTACTTAAGGTGATTAGAATCGTGGGAAATGTAGTTCCTGGCAGTGATGGTTAAAAACGGCACAGCAGATGTCCAGCTATTCTAGAGGTAAAGCAGTAAGTTCATCCCAGACCTCCTACCATAGCACCAGCCTACGTGGCCACTAATTCCACGCAGGGGGTGGATTCATATTGTGGGACGTTCACAATGAAAAGACAATAGACAAAGCCCACGGGAAGCTTCCAGTAAATATGTGGATACGTGGCATGATACCATCTCTCTTCATGTAGAATATATAGCTTTTCCGAGCCTTAGAACTCGATACACTCAATTTTTTGAGCCCATTAAAGTTGGCTCTGCAATTATAGAGCATAAATGTCTCCTTTATGGACATAAACAGCTTTTCTCCATAAGATGGGTCCCACAGTTGGTAGAAAGTTGAGATCAGGAGCATACAAATTAAAAAGTGTTTGTTTTTAAGAAATTTATTATTACTATATGTATAAAAAACAAACACAAATGCACAACGAGTTTCGACCACAAAATATGGAAGACCATATAAGTCCAGAGCCAACTTTAATGGGCTCAAAAAATTGTGAGTGTTTTGAGTTCTAAATCTCTTCATACCTAATACTTATACAGATTACACTATGTTGTGTTTTGTTTGTATTTTTAAATAGGAAAATCAGAATACCCTTCACCAAGTGAAGGGTACTGTGTATTTAAAGTAATATTTATTTTATTTTGTGTGCGCTCTCACCTTATATCCTTGGATTGTATCTTTTTTTATTAAGTATTGAAAATGACAATATACTTGGGTGATTTAGCAGCACCATATCTATATATTCCAAAGCGCCACCTATATCCTTACTATCTTTCCGAGCCCTAGGCCACTTATCCCTCTTCCAGCAGCCAGATATTAACAGAAATAATGAATCGCATCAAACGTCTCCCCGTTCCTATCTTCTTGTGGTGGTAGTAAATTAGGCTAATAGTCACGTGGCTGTGAGTTGAGCGTGGCTTTGTGATTATCAGTTACACAGTAATGTACAGTCTGCGTGGATGTTTATTGATATCCATGCGGGATGTCCTCCACAGAGACGTTACTCTGCTATTATTATTATTCTGTCACCCAATCTGTCTCCTCCATACTGCTCCATCATATAACTGGTGGCTGTGTGGTGGTCCATCATGTCCCGGAGACTGCGTGGCAGTGTATTTGTGTCTTTGTTTTTGTGCGTTTCATTGTGTGACTCTGTGTCACCTGCTGTGAGCATGACAGCTGCTGTCTCCCCCTCTTCCTCTCCCATGACTGTCCTTATCCCATAGCTAAAAATACAAGGTGGAATTCCTCAACCCCCCCTTCCAGTGACACAGTTTAACTCCCTGTAGGACGCGGGCCGGAGTAACCTTACCCAGCAGGGTTAGTGACGGGCAGTGCCTGGCACAGAAAGGGTGAGTGAGATCTCATCATCTCGGGGGCATGTGATAAGAAAACACCAAACATAGACAGTAGACAGAGGACTCATGGAGTGT